GCGTGGAGCCTACTTAAAAATATATATATTAATTTCACCTGTTTTTTTAAAGTTTCCTTTTTTCTATTACATTGGATCTACTTAAAAAAAATTTTTTTTTATTTGACAGAGAGAGAGCATAAGCAGGGAGAGTGTAAGAGGGAGAAGCAGGCCCCGATGCAGGGTTCAATCCCAGGACCCCAGGATCATGAACTGAGCAGAAGGCAGACACTTAACCAACTGAGCCACCCAGGCACCCCTCATTGGATCTATTTTAATTGTTATGTTCCTAACTTCTTACTTTAGCTAATTAAATCATTACTTTTTGCCATTTTTCTTGTTAATATGAGCAATTAAGACTGTACATTTCCTCCTAAATACCAAGTTAGTTGCACCTCACAAGTTTTTTTAGGTGTACAACTCATCTTACAAGTTTGGACATATATGTTTATTATTATTAATCTTTCAAATCTAAATATTTTCAAACTGAAATTTTCAAATTTTTCAAAGCATCTTTTAAAATGGATATAATTTAGTTGCATTATGTTCAGAGAACTTGGTCTGTATGATACTGATTCTTTTAAATATGTTAGGACTTATTTCATGACCAGGTATATACTCAAAGTATAATCTTCACTTGCTGGGACCATGTTTTCTATATAATCAGTGTGATTAAGCTTATTGTTTGTTGGAATAATCCCTTATTTGTTTTCAGTCAACTTGTTCTATCAGTTACTCAAAGATGTATGCTAAAATCTCCCACTATGGTGGCAGATTTGTCAACTTTTTTTTATCCTTCTGTTACTTTTTACTTTATATAGTTTGAAGCTGTGTTATTAGGTGCATAAGAGTTTAGAAATTCTTATATTATTCAGAAACTGAAACTCTGATGTACTGTTTCTTTTTAATTTTTTAAATGTAGCTACTAGAAAACTTTAAATTATGTGTGGCTTGGATTATCTTTCCACTGGACAGCACTGGTCTAGAGAAAGGATAAGCAAGGAGCCTACACCAACCACCAAGTCCTGGAAGATTAAGGACTTGAGTACAGAAAATAACAAGCAAAGAGAGGAGAGGGTTGGCAGACCTGTTAAAGTACCATACTCTGTCTTTCTCTCTTGCTGCTGGAGTCTAGATAGGAAAGGAGACCAAGATGCTTGTGAAAAGCAGAAAGGAGGTGAAGACAAGACAGAAGAGGATAAAAAAGCAGAAGCTGAGAAAAGGTGGCCAGGGAAGAAGGAATTCTACACATACAATAGAACAACTACTTCTGCTCTGAATTCAATACATTTAAGCCTTTAATTATGAAAATGACACTTAGTATTAAAAACAGCCTTATGTTCAAAAGGCAGAACTATTATTCCACTAAAGTAGAGCTTTTTTATTTGTTATTTTTATCAATTTTCTCTCTTTGAATTAATCAAGTCATATCATATGATACTTAACTATTATGATTCCAAATACTAAAAACTTGAAGGGAAAAGAAGGATTCTTAGGTTATAGGAGTTGGTGAGCCATCCAATAACTTAATCCTGGATATTTTTTCCATGCCGTAAGAAGAGAACTAAAATACCTTGTATGGCCTCAAAAGACCAACCAAGAAATGGGCTTCTCCTCTAGGATGTGGGGGAATTCCAGAAATACAGAAATCCAGAAGTACAGAGAAGAATCCAGAAGTACAGAGAAGGCAGGTCAGAGAAGTAGAAACAGGTACAGAAAGTACAATATTACAAAAGCAGAGGGAGAAGAGGTTCCCAGAAGTGTTTGCAGCAAGAAGGCTGAGAGCTGAGATAAGGTAAAGCAGTTTGGCCAGAGAAATTCTTCCCTGACAACACTGTTCTTGGGCTCCCCACAGCTCAGCCTGTCCTGCTGCCTGACTCAGGGGTGACTGGGACATGGAGGTGACTGCACTTGCCAAAAGCATATGGGGCATAGCCAGGTAGAAACGGATCATGACTCCTGGTAGGACTCCTGCCTGTCTCCTTGGTGAAAAGTCAATGTTGCACTCATCAGCTAATAGAAGGGTGTACTAACACTATACTAATAAACAGTAACCACTAATTACCATTTAATAACCATATTGATCACTATACTAATAACAATGTAATTATTCAAAAATTGGAATAAAATAGCTTTGCCTGCAGCTCCCAAAGCTAAGTATACACACAACCCATGACCCCTTTATCACACACCTATTATACCCCCATCAGGAATGTATACCAAAGATAGGTACGAGAACAGTCACAACAGCGTTATGTGTGATAGCCAAATGCTGGAAACTGCCCAAACGTCCATCAACAGTGCACAGATAAATACGTGATATATTATTCACCCAATGACCAAAATCAGCCAGGAGAGTGAGCACACTACAACGAGAGGCAGTGTCACGAGTGAATATCAGAAACCCTACTCATGAGGAAAGATGGCAGACACTGCAGGATCCTTGGTCAGGTGCGGGTTATCCTTGGGGAGGTAGGGACCGGAAGGGAGCACATGGGGAGCTCCTGCCTCTTGATCTGAGTGCATGGCTGTGTTCAGTTTGGAGAATTTGTGAACAGTACACTTATAGTATGTCTACTTTTCTATTGTATATGCCAAAGGAAGGAAGGAAGGAAGGAAGGAAGGGAGGGAAGGAAGGAAAGAAGGAAGGAAAAGGAAGGAAGGAAGGAAAGGAAGGAAGGAAAGGAAGGAAGGAAGGAAGGAAAGAAGGAAGGAAGGAAGGAAAGAAGGAAGGAAGAAAAGAAGGAAGGAAAGAAGGAAGGAAGGTAGGAAGGAAGGAAAGAAAAAGAAAAAGAAAGAACGAGCTCTCCAGTAAGATAAGCCTGGTAGTGTCCTTGGACCCGTCTAACCTCATTTGTCTCTCACTCCCTTATACAACTTCCTTGCCCCACCCCCCACCCCCCGCCGCATGTGTGCTTAAGCTGGATCTCTCTCCTTGGGGAGCCCACATGTCACCACCCATATTTATGGCTTCTTCCCACCCCAGGCTGGTGATCTGTGCCCCCCTCCCCATTTTGAATACCTTTGCTAACTTAGGCCATTCACGCTGATCCAGCCCTAGCTTCTTTCTCAGCAGTTAGGAAGTTTGTGCCATCATTGTGTATCTTCCCAGCGGTTTTATTCTGCCAACGCTGCCCAGCTAGACTAAAGACACAGAGCACGCTCTCTGGGAACGATTTCAAGCCTCCATAGGCAGTTCAGATTAAATCGTTCCACACCCGAGCTAGAAGGGTGTGGAAGATGAACCTCCATCCTCCCAGGAGCTGCTGGCTCCGAGACACACCACTTCTGCCCCACCGCCCAGCACCTGGATGGACTCCCACAGAGAACTCTGAACCTCTTTTTATTGTCTGTTCACCTCCCAAAAGCCAACCTGCTAGATACATTCCCCTCACTGCTGCCAAAGAGCATGCGGCTAACTTGGCAGTCCGTGCCAAAATCATAAGCATCTTCAAAATAGGTAGTCATAAACGTGAGTTTTTGGAATTTATGCCTATCAGCCCTCTCACTCTCCCCTTAACCCCCTTACGCCTTCCCAGCTCACCCATTTCTTTTCTGGCCTGAGGAAGAAATGGCTACTGATCATAACTAAGGTTCATTTCATTTTACAAAAGCAGCAGCACTCACACAATGGACAGACACGAAAAAATCCTCATGACATCCTGGTTATAGGGCTCTGGTAGCTCACAGCCGTCTCCTGTCCAAGCACTGGCTGGAATTTAGGTGATCCCGGCTCTAAGACCAGAAATGTAAGACATTCTTCTAAGCTGTCAAGCTTTCCGGATTACACAAGTGAAACCACAACCCATGATGTTTTTGAGTCTGTCCTCCTTCACTCAGACATGGATTCCTCTTCCAGTTTCAGGACACGCATCCCACTGTAGAAGAGGACTAGCAGTTATAAACCAAGAGGAGAGCGAGGCTAAACACCAGAGGGCAGGAGATGAGTCTCCTTCCTCTTTGTAACCCCAGCACCCAGCTCCCTGCTTGGCACCACAAGCAGGCAAGCCAAGGGTGCCAGATGAAACGCAGCACATAAACTATTCTCTCTTTTAGAAGAACGATACCTAATTAAGCAAAGGCCACGAACACGAATTAAGACATGAGGACATAAAATTCGTTTTTCAAGTCATCTACTGATTTGCAGGACTCTCTTCACTGGTAAACACATTCTTTGGTCAGAACCACTGAACCAGAGGCCTGGAAGGGACCACAGCCATCAGCAGCTCAAGTCTCCAGTAGAGACCAAGGAGACAGAGCCCCACATGGGGACCAGTGTCGGCCAAGGTCACCCAGCTGGTGTGGGGTAGGGACAAGATCCCGCCTCCCCCTATTTGCCAGGCTCCTCTGAGAGATGCCCTTGCAAAACCTTACGTTACTTACACACTAACGGCGTATAATGAATGCATGCCCACGTATAATACGTATAACGGCGTATAATGAATGCATGCTTACAATTCAGAGGAAAGCAAAGGATCACCAAAATGTGTCTCTCCCGTAGGGCTGGCTGCAGAGAGGGGGCAAGCAAGGTCACAGGCGAATTTCTACCTGCAGACGCCACACATCGCGCCTTTCCGAAGGATGCAATGGGCAGTTTGGGGACCTGCTAGTTACCCTGCAAAGGGTCCCCCAATTCCGTTCCAGGGAAATGAGTTAACTCGGCTCCGCTGGCTAGGAAGCTTCCAGCAATGAATTAAACCCCGAGCCCCTGAGGGAAGCCGGGGAAGAAAGGGCCACTGCGGCTGTACCCGACATCCTGGCGGTTCACCCCTGCGCCTCCACCACGTCCACACTGGCGCGGCGCCGCCCGCCCCGTCCACGCGGCCCACGGCCACGACTCTCAGCCCGCGCCCCCGCGAGGCGCGTCTAGGGGCGCCGTGCCCTGGGCGCTGCCCGCGGGGACAGGGGCGGAGCCACCGGGCCCAGCTAGGCGGGGGCAGGGACTGATCGCCGCCGCCGCCGCCGCCGCCGCCCCCAGCCCGCGGGCCCCGCTACGCCGAGAAGGGGGCTGCGCCACTTACCTCGGCCGGCAGGTGCCGCCGCCACCGCCTCGGTTCGCAGCTGCAGGGGACGCCGCTCTGCGCCGCCCGCCGCTTTCGCCCGCATGCTAGGGAGGGGGCGCCGGCCGGCCGCCAGTCCCGGGCCCCGCTCCCCCGCCCGTCCCCGGCGCCGCGCTCGCGCCCATTCAGCACCGGACCGTCCGCTCCCCCGCGCGGATGCGGAGGAGGGACGTGGGGCGGGACCGGGAGTCACGAGGACAGGAGAGACCAATCGGAGCTCGCGGGGGGGGGGGGTCCCGCTGCCGCCCCGCCCCCTGGACGCGCGACCCCGTCCACCCAGAGCGGTTGGGGGAGCCGGGCGCCGCCAGCAGGACGTTGCCCGCCTGCTGGCCTGGGAGGAGTCGGGGTGTCGGGCACCCACAGCTCACTTGAGCTCTGCGTGCGGTTAGCTGGTGAAGGAACGAAAGGTACAGCTGGACTGATTGTAGGCTTTTACTGCGCGTAGGATTGGTGCTTGCGGAGCCGGTGAATGGAGGGGCTTTACGTAGTCACGTGCTTCACTTGCCCGCACAACCCCCCAGGCCGACCAGGGTTCAGAGTTCCTGGGGCCCTGAGACCTCGAGAACTGCACGAGGGCAGCGTGGGCGTGTGTCTGGGGACTGGCAAAACATCTTTAGGTTGTTCCACTTGTCCGAGAAGAAGGAAATAGTGATTACCCCCTATTATCATAGATGGGTAATTGAGGCCCAGAGAGCAGAAGTAAGTTACCCTAAATCATTGTGGTGGCAGAGCAAGGATCAGAACCTGCACTTGGAGTGCCCCTTTCCATACCTCAGGAGTCTTCCCTTGATTCTGGAGAGGAAATGTCATACAGTTTTTTTAAGGCATAAATATTAGTGAATCCCCAAATTCAAGATTTAAAAGGAGTTTAAAGCACTGGCATGTTATTTCTTCAACACAGCTGAATGTGTATAATGCGTCTGCGACATTTCTGTGCCTTAGGACTTGTTGACTCCTCGGTGAGCTCAGTGAAATTGGTCTGCCTTCAGAATTTCCTTTCAGGTACAGAGCATCGCGGTCATGTGCCGGTAATACCGGTTCCGCTTTAAAAAGGAAGATCCTAGACACTGAGCCAAATGTATTTACGTCATCTGAGAGATTTGTGGCTCTTTTTTGCAATAGATTGCACAGCTCCCAACAGGGTTTGGAAATGTCTGTGTTCTTTCCCCGGTGGGGGCAGGGGTGCTGGAAAAAATGTGGTATCGGGGTAACAAAGGTCAGAAGTGAAATCTTGGAAGGGAAAAGGTGGGGGTGGAGGGAGGACTCTGCCGTCATACTTTCCAAAGGGATTTGCCATAAAAATGTTTCCAGGTTATTCTAAGGTGAGGACACGGGAGCATTTTGAAAATATTGGAAGAAAAGCTGTCACTGAGATTTCTAAATCTAGTGGATTGGCCAAGGCTGGCCAAGCAGAGCAGCTGCGCGTGGCGGCGGGGTTGGGGGGATGGGGTGGTAGTGACAGCTGCAGGGAGAATGCTGAGCACCTCACCACTTCTCTCTTGGAGACCAGCCCAAGGCCAGCCAGCTTGATCAGACACTCTTTACCTCTCTTTGCCTCACCTGCTCTTCCCCTTTCTCCCAGATACTCCTTGTCGGTAAAATGCCTTGAAAGCATTATGGCTGACATAAAGATCAGGGTATCCTGGCTTGGAAGAGTGGGTGTAAGGTGGGTGTGAGAAAGAAAGGGAGCTTGAAACTGCCTCCTGTCCCAGCCTAACAGGACGGCTGTTAAGCTTACCCTGCACCCACTACCTCATTCACCCCGTTCACATTTGGTGGGAAGAGAAGTTGACAAGCCCCTGCCCTAAAGCATCCTTTTTACTAGCTGCAGAGCCATCCTCAGCTACTGTTCTGCATTGAGATAGAGATCCTCCAACTGTAGATTAGGATCAGCCATTAGATCTCAAAGCCTTACCTGGAATCTCTTCAAGTCATTGGCTGGTCTCAGAAAAAGCTCAGGACCCTGACTAGCAAAGTGGCCAAACTATTTGTAAATCCGGGACAGCTACCATGATTTTGTAATTCTTCAGTTCCTTGTGTCTGTTACTTAGGTCATTCTGATAGCTGGCATTGTGGTTGCTCCCAACATCCACTCCCTCTCCCCTCCCCTGTGATGCAACATATGGTTTAGGTAAATTTGCCCCACTCTTAACTCTATGAGTGAGCTCTGATTGGTCTAGGTCAGAGGTTCTCAAAGTATGGTCCATGGACCCCTAGGGGGTCCTTGAGGACCATTCAGGAAATATCTGAAGTTAAAATTATTTCATAATTATCTAAGACATAATTTACCTTTCTCATTGATGGTGCAAAGGTGAAGGTGTGCAAAACTTCTGGTACCTTCATAAATCAACATGGTGGCACTGAACTGTACTAATATCCTTCACCACCACATGCATGGTAGAAAAGTATATATTTTTTTAATTTAAAAAAATGCAGTTTCATTTAAGAATGTTCTTGATGGAGCAGTAAATATTACTAAATTTATTAAAATCTCAACTGTCAAGCATGTATCTTTCTAGTATTTTATATGACAAAATGGAAAATGCATATAAAACCCTTCTGCTGGGAACTGAAGCATGGTGGTTGTCCAGGGGAAAGCTCTCTTGCAGCTACAAGCTGAACTAGCTGGTTTTGTGACGGGTCGGGGTCATGGAGCACGATTTTTACGTGAGAAAGCAACTGACAAATTATGGTTATTTGGTAGACATTTTCTTGACAATCAATTAAGTGAGCCTGTCTCTTCAAGGAAAACAATGGCCTATTGGTTGCCAATGATGAAAAAAATTCCAGCTTTCAAAAGAAATTTAGAATTTTGGAAGAGTTTATAGGGACATAAACCATAAACCATAAAACATAAACCATGGGACAGCTTCTCAATATTTAAGGACTTTTCTGATGGGACTGATGGTGATGTTAACAAATATGATTTGGGGATAATGGATCATGTATGATGCGCCAACACTTGGAAGACCTGCGTTTACTCAGTGAATCAAGGTTTTCCAGATGACTAATGCATGATGTTACAAAATCACACATGGGTTAAAGATGAATTTTAAATGCAAGGCAGACAATGGACTTAAACCGTATGAAAAGTTTATAGATAAGGTTTCAGATTCCACAGTGCAACAAGCCTTTAAGATATGACCTCTTGTAGAGTTTTGGTATAGTACCAAAGAAGAATATCCACAATTATCTTAAAAAGCTGTTAAAATACTCCTCCCTTTTCCAATTACATATGGATGTGAAGCAGATTTTCTTCCTGTACTTGAACCAAACGATTTGCAACAGATTGAATACAGAAGCAGATATGAAAATCCAGCTGTCTTCTATTAAACCAGACTTGAAGAGACTTGCAAATTAAAAAGTAAAGGAAAAAAAAGCCATTCTTCTCACCATCTTTTTGTTTTGGAAAACATAGTTATTTTGGAGAGGATATTAATGCCTTTTAAAACATAGTTATTTTTATTTATTTTTTTTTAAAGATTTATTTATTTATTTATTTGAGACAGAGAGAATGAGAGAGAGAGAGCACATGAGAGGGGGGAGGGTCAGAGGGAGAAGCAGTCTCCCTGCCGAGCAGGGAGCCCGATGCCGAACTCGATCCCGGGACTCCAGGATCATGACCTGAGCCGAAGGCAGTCACTTAACCAACTGAGCCACCCAGGCGCCCAAAACATAGTTATTTTTAAATTAACTTGTTATAACATGTAAATTTATTATTTTTATGATTATTTTATTAATTTTGTTTTTTAAGATTTTATTTATTTACTTGAGAGAGTGATTGAGAGAGAGAGAGAAGGAGCAGGGGGAGGGGCAGAGGGAGAAGCAGACTCCCCACTGAGCAGGGATCCTGGGGACTCCGGGATCATGACCTGAGCCAAAGGCAGATGCTTAACCGACTGAGCCACCCAGGTGCCCTATTTTATTAATTTTAATAAATTTAACTTATAATTTGGCAAATATCAATCGATTAAACCTCCATTAAAAAGATTCCTTGGGGTCCTCAGTAATTTTTAGGAGTGTAAACGGTCCTAAGACTAGAGCTTGAGACCTGCTGGTCTGAGCCACCCATCTTCCTTGCCACTAGGATTGATTCATGGGTGGCCATAGGAATAAGATTAACCCAGTCAGAGGAAATCTCCAATGTATGGGATGTGGGAGAGAGATGCTCTCATCTCTAGCTATACAGGAGTCAGGCAGTAGGTAGCCTCGGAAGCTGCTGCTAAGGCAGTCATTTTAGACTACAAGAAGGACTTACCTTAGAAGAGAATAATGCTGAGGGAAGTAAGAGGGAAGTTAGAAAGAAACCATTCTCTTGGGGCGCCTGGGTGGCTCAGTCATTAAGCGTCTGCCTTCAGCTCAGGTCATGATCCCAGGGTCCTGGGATCGAGCCCCGTATCAGCCTCCCTGCTCTGCGGGAAGCCTGCTTCTGCCTCTCCCACTCCCCCTGCTTGTGTTCCCTCTCTCACTGTGTCTCTCTCTGTCAAATAAATAAATAAAATATTTAAAAAAAAAAAAGAAAGAAACCATTCTCTTTATGACATTTTTGAGCCACTAGATCAAACCAGCCCTGCAGCCCATCCTACCTCTATATACTCCAGTTTTATGAGTCAATGGAGGCAACCTCAGGCGCCCCCTTGATGTTTTGTGTACCTGTTTCTGAATATTTTTATCTCAATAGGGGCCTAAGGCCTCAGGATAGTATACTTCCTAGGGTTTATTCATTCAGCTTTTTCATCATGTCATCAACGTAAGGTAGCTTCTGAAGGGAAACTGGAAGGCAGAGCAGGGGCTGGGAGGAAAGGGACCTAGCACAGACAACTGGGGTCAAAAGTGCCAACAATACTTGTGAGAACAATAAGGAACAGTAGCATATGATCTTGCATAGCCAAGTTAAAGCAGAGTTTTGCTTTCTTTTGCTGTTATGTGTTTCTCAAATTGGACAACATGAGCATGCATTGCTCTTTTAAGGAAAAAAAATAGAACTATTTTATTATTTTTGAATAGCCCTTGAAAAGGGCACCAGCTTAGAGAGCAGATTGGCATCAGGATATGGCAAGAGAAGTCTTGGGCTAAAATTGCTAACAGGAAGAAAGATCTGTAAGGGATGCAGATAGGCCCGGAAGATAAACTTCCTTTCATTTACAGCTTTGCCAACAGCCAACCTCAAAATTCAAGGGGATGAGCAAGAATCCCCAAGGGTTAAGGAATCATTAATTATGCCTCCATCAAAGTGGCTGAAATATTTGCAGTTCAGAGAGAGAGAGACCAATGTGAAGATTAGGTCAACACTAAAAAAGGCTTGAGATACCACATTAAGTGAAAACAAAAAACAGGACACAGATTGATGCAAACTTCTATCATGTGGGCCAAAAAGAAGAAGAAAACTTGGAAAAAGAAAACAGTT